GCACCCGGAACAGGTCCAGGCTGGGATTTTGGGATTTTTGGGGTCCTTTATGACCCTTTTCGGGGTCTTTTGAGGAAGGGCAGGGGGGGCACTGGCTCTCCCAGCTATTTTTGGGATCCTTAAGTAGTTTGGGCGAACCCCAGAGAGGTTCTTTCTGGAATTGCTAAGAAAAGGGTGCAGCTGCACCCGGAACAGGTCCAGGCTGGGATTTTGGGATTTTTGGGGTCCTTTATGACCCTTTTGAGGAAGGGCAGGGGGGGCACTGGGTCTCACAGATATTTTTGGGGTCCTTAAGTAGTTTGGGAGAACCTCAGAGACGTTCTTTCTGGAATTGCTGAGAAAGAGAAGGCTGCTGCTGCACCCGGGGCAGGTTTTGAGATTTTTGGGGTCTTCTATGACCCTTTTCGGGGTCTYTTGAGGAAGGGCAGGGGGTAAGCGCCGGGAGGGGCTCGGGGGCGGCGCGGCTGCACCTGAGATTGTGCCGTGAGCTGSAGTTTGATGGCGCTCGAGTTGACCTTGGCCGCCCGCAGCAGCTCCTTCATCCCCCGCATCTTCTGCGAGCGGAACCGCAGCACCGGCCCCGGGGGAGGCGCGGGTGGGGTCGGTCCGGGGGTCCCGGGGGCTGGAGGGGCTGCTGGAGGGGGCGGCGGGGTCTCCTCGGGGCGGGGGGCGCGGGGAGGGGGGCGGCGCTCCCCGGGTTTTTTAGGGGTGGGAGGTTCCTCGGGTTTGGATTCGCGGCGGGGGCCGCGGCGGCGGCCGTCACGGGGGTCTTCGGGGCCCCCCAAATCCGCCTCGGGGGGAGCGGGGTCCTCGGAGAGCAACGTCACCTGTTGGCGCACCTGGGGGGGACATGGGGGTCAGCAGGAGGGACATGAAGGAGCCTGGACACCTCTCAAAGGTTATTGGGGGACCCCAAGAAAGATGTGGAACCCACATCAGGAACCCCAGGAAGAACGTGGGAGACCCCAAAACCCACTCAGGACCCCTCCAAATCTCCAGGGATGCCMTAAGGAGGATGTGGAGGAGYCTAGAAACYACTCAGGACTCCCCAAATCCCCCAAAATACCCCAAGGAGGATGTGGAAGAGCCCAGAACCCACTCAGGACCCGTCAAATCTTCAGGGACGCCCCAAGGAGGATGTGGTGGAGCCCAGAACCCACTCGTGACTCCCCAAGAACTCAAATCTCCAGGAATGCCCCAAGGAAGATGTGGAAGAGCTCAGAACCCACTCAGGACCCCTCAAATCTCTAGGGATGCCCTAAAGAGGATGTGGAGGAGCCCAGAAACCACTCAGGACCCCTCAAATCCCCAAAAATACCCCTAGGAGGATGTGGAAGAGCCCAGAAACCACTCAGGACCACCCCAGAACCCACTCAGGACCCCTCAAATCCCCAAAAATACCCCAAGGAGGATGTGGAAGAGCCCAGAAACCACTCAGGACCACCCCAGAACCCACTCAGGACCCCTCAAATCCCCAAAAATACCCCAAGGAGGATGTGGAAGAGCCCAGAAACCACTCAGGACCACCCCAGAACCCACTCAGGACCCCTCAAATCCCAAAAAATACCCCAAGGAGGATGTGGAAGAACCCAGAACCCACTTGTGACTCCCCAAACCCCTCACTTGGCCATCAAAGTGACCAAGGAACTGGACAAGGAACGTGACCCAGCCCCTATGTAGGACATGGGAGGGGCTCCCCTGCCCCCAGGGACCCCCCAAAACCCCAGGGGACCCCCCAAAAGCCTGACCTGGCCATCGAAGCGGCCGAGGGACTGGACGAGGAAGGTGGCCCAGCCCACGTGCAGCACCGGGGTGGGGCTCCCCTCCTCCCACCTGCAGATGCCGTCGTAGAATCGAAGGAGGTGAGCGAAGCATTCGGGGTCCTGCAGGGCTGGGAGACCCCCGGGGGCTCCCTGTGGACCCCCGAGTCAGAGAGAGACCCCACAAATGAAGGCAGGATCCTCCCAACCCCACCCCATTGGGATTTGGGGGTTTTCTGCCAGTGGAGACCCCCAAATTCAGGCCCCTACAGGTGTGGGGGAACCCCTGGTAAATTCCCAGATGTGGGGCTCCCCCTTAAAAACCCCAAAATACCCCCCTAAAGGCAGAACCCATGGGGACATCCCCCTCCCCTCCAAACCCAGCAGGAAATCCCACCCCAGGCAGGGYTCCCCCACCCAAGGGTCCCCCAAATTTGGGGTCCCCAAGTCCAAGTCCCACCTCAGCCCCCGGTGGGGGCTCGGCCGCCGCCTCCTTGAGCAAATTGGGGATGACATCGTTGGCCACGTCGAAGAATTCTTTGTAGATCTCCTCATCCTCCCGGCAGTAATTGTAGCTGGGGGGGGAGCAGGGGGGGCTTGGGGGGCTGCCCCACAGGGTTGGGGGGCACACGGGGCTTGGGGAAAGGGCTGGGGACCCCTAAAGAGGACACAGAGCCCACAAAGGGTGGGGGGATCCCAAAATCTCAACGCTGGGTGGGGGGCACAGGTCACTCACAGCCACAGAATGGATGTGGACCCACCCCATGAGGGGGGCTGGTGACCCCCAAGGGCCCCCCCAAAATCCAGATCATCCCTCAACCCCCACCAGCCCCACAGGAGGGAGGGAGCTCCCCCCAGCCCAGCCCCAGGGGGAGGAGTGGGAACCCCCAGGTAACCCAGGTATCTCCTAGGACCCCCAAATTCACCCCCCAGAGCCCCCCACTCACTCCTGGATGACGGTGGCCGTGTCAGCCCAGGCCTCCAGGGCCTCTTTGACGTTTTTGTTGCGGCAGTGGAACCCGGCCAGGTACAGGTAGGGGTAGATGTGCTCGTTGTTGTAGTAGGTACGGGCGGAGTGGATGCCCTGGGGGAGGCAGGGGAGGGGTCAGGGCACACCTGGGCACACCTGAGCACACCCCTGTGTCCCCAAAGCATTCCCCCATCGTCACCTGGTGGTACAGGGTGAGAGGGTCGGGTCTGCCGGGGGTGGGCTCCAGCTCCTCCAGGTCAGCCAGGTTCCCCAGCGCCATGGGGTACCTGTGGGGCAGGTGGGGGGCAGCCCCATGGCGGGTTGGGGGGGCCCCGGGGCAACTTGGGGGGCAGCCCCATGGTGGGTCGGGGGTGCCTCTCACCTGTCCAGGTGCCCCATGTCATAGAGCAGCCACAGCAGGCGCTGCACGGGAGAAGAAAGAGAGATGTGGGGGTGCCCCTCACCTGCCCCACATCTGGCCCAGTCCCACCCCACAGCTGGCCCACATCTGGCCCAGCCCTGCCCCACACCTGGCCCAACCCTGCCCCACACCTGGCCCAAATCTGGCCCAACCCTGCCCCACACCTGGCCCAAATCTGGCCCACACCTGGCCCAACCATGCCCCACAGCTGCCCCACATCTGGCCCAGCCCTGCCCCACACCTGGCCCAACCCTGCCCCACACTTGGCCCAACCATGCCCCACAGCTGCCCCACACCTGGCCCTGCCCTGCCCCACACCTGGCTCACATCTGGCCCAGCTCTGCCCCACATCTGACCCAGTCCCACCCCACACCTGGCCCAAATCTGGCCCAACCCTGCCCCACACCTGGCCCAAATCTGGCCCCACAGCTGCCCCACATCTGGCCCAGCCCTGCCCCACACCTGCTGCAGCTGCAGCAGCTCCAGGCTGTCGGTGTGGCCGTCGATGGACGGGTTGATGGCACACACCATAAACGCCACCTCCATGTGCCGCGTGCAGCGCAGGTACGATCCCTTCAGGTACAGCCAGCTCTGGGGGAGGACAGGTGACACAGGGGACATGGGGGACATGGGGACATCTCCACCTGTGCCTCCTGCCCAGGTATGAGCCGCTTAGAGGGATGGGGACACAGGTGACATGGGGACATGGCCACTGTGCCCCCTCCCTGCACTGTYTGTCCCAGGGGCTCCTCAGTGTCCCCACCCCTGGAACCCCATTGTCCCCCCCNTCCCTGCACTGTTTGTCCCAGGGGCTCCTCAGTGTCCCCACCCCTGGAACCCCATTGTCCCCCCCAACCTCTCAGCCCCTCTGTGTCCCCACCATTCCCATGACTCCCTCATGTCCTCATGTCCCTTTGACACCCCCCTCACCCCCATGTCCCCTCCGTACCTTCTTGGCCACCCCGGCCACCCCGGGCTGTCCCCTCCTGTCCCCATGTCCCTTTGAGCCCCCCCTCACCCCCATGTCCCCTCCGTACCCTCTTGGCCACCCCGGGCTGTCCCCTCCTGTTCCCATGTCCCTTCCACCCCCTCCTCATCCCCATGTCCCCTCCATACCCTCTCGGCCACCCCGGCCTGCACGGGCTGTCCCCTCCTGTCCTCGTTGCCCTTCCCATGCCAGGTGACCTCGGCGGTYTGGGCCCCTCCGGCCCCGAAGGCCACCCAGGCGTGGTCCTCGCTCAGGGCCAGGTGAACGTCCGGCAGCCCCAGCACCTGGCAGGCCCCGACCACGGC